ACTATCGGCTTCAAATAGTTCAATAATAGCTGGTGGAACCGTATACTACAACCGTAGCTTTGCCACTAGCAATTCCATAATCATAGAGCAATCGTATTTTGCACCATTGAGAATACCTAGGCCACATAATTTTTCTTCCTGCTCGTGCCAAATATCAACGTCTGATCTGATAACCGTACAGGATTTGTGATAAATCACCACTGTTAGTCGAAATGATTCATTGCTGCAATGGAAATTTGATCATAACAACGGCGATCCGTTGCAGTGATACAAATTATTGAGCAGTTCAAAACTCTGTCGGCTCGCTAAACTGTCTTATGATGCTCCGTTTTTATACCTCGACACATTAATCACCGGAAATCACCAGTTATAGCGCAAATCAATAATAGCGGTGCAATGTACAAGGATGCTCTCGTGAAACTTGAGCGAAAATTTGGTCGACCAGAACTCGTCGGCCGTGCATATCTGGATAAGTTTTGCATTACAACCTGTTTTGAACTGGCGTTCATCCCATCTGGAGAAATGGAAGTTGAACTGTCAGCAGACTTTTGAAGAAAGAAAAATTTTTTGGGACTATCGTTAGCCAAAGGCTGGGAAACCTCGTTTTTAGAAATGAACGAATTCAGAACCCTAGACAAGTGGGTTAAGAAAGAAGTGGAACTCATGTTCATCGCGGACAACGGCAGTGTAGCCACTATTGTCCCAAATTGGATGCCCGAGAAGAACGTGGAAACATGTAACAAATCCTTTTGGGATGCAAATCAAAAGTGCCGGCGGTGATAACGGACAACGACGGAGCATCGAAGGGTAAGGTTACGGAAAAGTTCTAGACAGACGCGCAATGAAAAATAGGCTCCCTTCTAAGTTTAATGGACTGCTCACACAAATTGGACTCGCCACTAATTTATCGGTTCGCTCAAAACTTTGTCAGATCTTTAGGGTGATACATCAGAAAGGTAGCAATTTTCCCATTGTTTTAAAAGAGAAAGTAGAAGAAGTTTTTTATGGTTTTCAAGATATCAAACATACTAAAAAATTGAAAAAACCTCAGACAACAAGTTAGTGTTACCAAATATGGTCAGCATTAAGCTGCATCTATCTATTAAATTAGCGGCATTAGATTTGACAGTCCTCAGCAAGTATACTTACAAGAAAAAACGATAGATGTCAAAGAATTTGCAAGACTGCATCGCAAAAGAGATCACTCGCTCGGAAAGGGATCCGATCTGGTTCTCGAATCTGGACCTGAAACATGCCTACTCTCAACTACCGTTGAACCTAGTGGTACGACCTGAGAATTATAGAGGGGAAAGCATTGGGAATCTACCAGTTCCAAAAGGGTTATGGGTTGACCGACATGCCAGCCATATTCCAGCAAGCGTTAGACAAAACACTATCAGGACTACAAAAACGTCCTGCTTCTTAGATGGAATCCTTCTTGTCACCAAAGGTGGCTGAATGGAAGATTTTACATCAGTTGAAAACTGTCTCGAACGTTTGGATTCGGAAAACTTCTACGTGATTATCAGAAAAAAGTAGTTCCTTAAAGAGAATATTGATTGGTTCGGATTTCAAATCATAGCGAGGGTTCGAAACCAATGAAAAGTAATGTCGATGTTATATCCAAATTAGTTATAGGTCGGCTGTAGCTGTATCCGTACGAAGGAGGTAAATCCTTGCCTTTAAAGACTCATACAAACAACGAACATGTTCATCGCCGAAAGCGACAGTGAAAAACCGATAGAAACGGATGAGAGTAACAACAAGGACTGGGACGTTCTGTTGTTATCATCAATCCACAATTGGGATGAAACGGCCAAAGTCACGATAAACGACAAAATGGCAATAAGACTGTTGCGGAGTTCCAACCAAAAACTGATTGAAGCGCTGACTAACAAAAAAGAATGAATTTTGAAGGAATTGAGGGACTACATACTAGCCAAACATGAGGGTTGATGTATCAGGGCAATTACTCTTATCATCACTGGAGAGAATATCAGATGGAAGCAGGAACCGTGTGGGTGGCCAAGAATGTGGACATACCGTCAGTTTTGAGAGATGCATGTGTAAACACTACACGTGCATCTTTCAACTACCCCACACTACCCTCCCCCTTTTCCACACTAACCATATCCCTGGCTAATCTTTCGGCATCTGAGACGACATGGTTGCCGCTGAAACAACGTTGCATCTTTAACCAGGGTGAGCAAGGCAGGACTCTCATACCCTTGAACACCCAAGGTTACCATGGAAGCCACTTAAAAACTCAATTATACCTATGGAGAAAACTCAAAGAGAATTCGCCAGCCCTGCATCCAATGAAAATTACAAAAGTACTCATTCTGCTAGCCATAGATAGGTTTTTTAACCATGCTAATGCCAGAAATGCGTAAAGTTTTTAACGACAAAATCAAAAATTACGTAAAGGTCGATATCAAGAGGAACGCGCTATCCGAGTAGACTTAGCGCCGTGTCCAACGTGGACTGCAATCACCGGAAATAGCGAAAAAAATAACATCGACATAATTGTGGCTTTGACACGCACTCACCGTAGTATGCAATTGGCAGAGAGATTTATAAAAAGGATGACAGTCGAATGCGATGAATGAAGGAAGAGAGAAACGAATCTTTAAGATTAGATCACGCATATAACAAATTACTATCCACTATTAGAACTACGGCCCAAAAGATGTATGGGTTGTCGCCATTCTAGCCAAACTTAGGACAAAACCGATTTGGTCACTGTCAACCATCAGTACCTAGCGTAATTAGTTCGACTCAAATTGGGTAAAGCAGTTAAACCCTGTTCAGACAGGGAAACTTTGGGAACACCATTGATGTCAGAGGAGCAACGCCGGGATATAGATTCAAGCAGTGGCATCAGAATTGAAAATGAAAGAAAAGTGCGCAATGACGAAACAAGAAAACGAATGAACCAACTGCCTTTCGTAGTATTAATGAAGGACATAGATGAACCATCAGACACACCAAAGGACAAAATCCGAGCATTCAATCTGAACCTGGACCCCACGACAATTCGGGGCAGGAAAAATAGGGCTCTAGATGGGGACTGGACAGAGGTGCCAACGGGCAGAGCAATTCTTTAAGCAACGAGCTCAACAAACGACGTTGAAAAGTCAGGTGGAAAAAATAGTGGTTCGCAATTCGAACTTGGGCCTGACTATAGAACGCATTCCATCGTGGAAAATTGCGACCCGAAAAGGAGCACCATCAATCTGTAAGGCACAGCCGATCTTACGAGTCAGTCCGGTGAATCGCAACAAAACACAGTCGATCTTGAAGAAATCTTCAGGAAATCGGTACCAGAAATCTATTTTGAGGGAAAAATCAGGGACTACGAAATTACGTCATAGAAAGCAAGAAGACGCATTACGTAGGCAATCGGCAGCAACCAAGGCTTTAACAGGTTTGGAAAGAAAGCGAACCTACAGTAACCAGGATCAGAGGTCCAGTTCAGGATCAGAAGTTTTCGATATCACAGACGCTGAGCCAACCGAACACAGGGGATAAAACACCCGAAACAATTTCCTCAACTACACTACAAGTAGATTCCAGCTTTGCAAAATTGAGTGACGTCTCTATCGACAGGGGTAACGGAGGTAACCTTAACAAAAATTCACGACTTAAGACACGAAAAATGCAAATCAGAGAAGAAAAACAAAGGCACAGACGACTCTTCCTTCAGGCAGGACAACAAAAGTTCCAGACAGATTTATTGCGGGGTGTTTAGATGAAACAATTTACTTTCAATTAAGAAGAGCGGCTTTACTTTGAAACAATTTACTTTCAATTAAGAAGATGAAACAATTAAGAAGAGCCGCTGAAACTAGGAGAGAAAACGCCGGCTGGTTAAATCGCGAAAGCCAAGCGACAATCAACTAAGTCCAAACCGATTATTGAAGCGAAGAAAAAGGAGCGCTAAAACCCAAAAAGAAAAAAAAACCGAGGGCAAGCAGCCTAAACGCCCAACTGTACAAAAAGCCTAAGGGGATCCAAAAAACTATAAAACCTAATTTTTAAATTTTTTTCGATATCAAGGGGACTGGATCATCTCACTCCTCGGATAAGGCAACTGGTTTTTTTTGGTAGTCAGTAATCTGGATGGTTACCCTTGTGTGCATGACTTACCCTTGTGTGCAGTAATCTAAATTCATTCAAGGGTGCATTACAGTTAAAATTGTCAGGCCAAATCAGCTGGTAATGATTGAAATGCTTTCAAAATTTGATTTGCTTTTTTGTAATTTGACCTTGATTGTGATTACGGTTAGACTTCAAATAATCCTAAAACGAAAATGTTATCTTGAATTAAAATTCGATTACTAGTTTTGTTTCCTTTCAATTTATCCTCCCGGCGAGATACTACAAGGGAAAAACACCATATACCCTTTATTTCCGGTTTTCAGGAAGAGCTCATCTGTGCTGAAGAGAAGTCAGGAATACCAACAAATTTTCTCCGCGCACGCCAAGTTAAAATCTTTGGAAAAGCGCATCGATAAAAAACGCTTTTCTTTCATAAGGCAAAGATATGTAATCACGGTTCATGCCCACGACTGAAAAGTCGTTCCGCGAGAAAATAGGGTCCTGCTTACGACCCGATGATTGACCCAAACAAGCCGGGAAAAGTTTGGCGCTTCTTCGATGGAGCATCCAAAAATCCTGGATCGTTCTGGTTCAAGCCGTAAAAATGAGGTTCCGTTAGTTCAATATGAAGTATCTGCTGATATGAAGGAAAGATAAACAATCTCGGCAACTGTTGTAGCGGGAGGAATCCACAGCCGATATCATAATGTATCAAAGCACTCGACATTTATTTGGAGCGCGCTCGGGCCTCCACATCTAATGTTTCCGCACTTCAATGAAATACTCTTTACAATCAAGCCTTTTTTCAGACGCACAATCTGCAGTGATGCAAAGTTTTTTCTGAACAATTAACTTGACTCATTGAAACACCCTGAAGAAGATTTACAAATGAGCGAAAATTACATGAACTCAGTTTGAAGAAGAACCACTTTGAAGACACTTTGGTAGACAGCTGAAGTATAAATAGAGAATTGAACAAAAATGATATACAGCGCACTGGTCTAGGCTTCATCTGTACAGTTTTTGAAATCTTTCGGCTGCTAATAACTTGTGATTGCGCGGCTCCACTTAAAGAATTAGGAAGAATCCACTGTCAACGGTGGGATGTTCTCCTTCCAGAAAAACTGACTGAAGACTTTTTCCATTGGCTTTCCAGCCTATTCATCTTTGGTCAGCTTGCAATTGAGCCTTGCTATTCTCCGTTTGCAGTTAACAAAAATGAGTTGCTTTGTTTGGAGATTGTTAGCAAGACATTATTGGTTCAGTTGGTTTTCTTCGTTCGCGCAGTTTATATAATCAAGATAATAAACTCTTCTTCATTCTTTATAAAACGCAATCAGCGTCAATGAAGGCTATTCCATACCTAATTTAGAATTGCAAGCTGCGTTAATGGCGAAACATTTCAAAAGAAGATATAATTAAAGTCCTTATCAACCCGATGAGCGATGCTCCTTTTGATCTAATCAACGTCAGTTAGCAACCTGCTTTTGTCATTATCAGAGTTGACGAGTGAGTTTAGATCGACACCGAAAAAAATCCTGCAGATAGGGGCCCCCGAGACATTGCCGTTGAAGCTCTGACAGTCAACAACAGGACAAAATGTTGAACGTTCCTCAGAACCTGTGACTGGCCCTTCCATCCAATTGTTGAGGTAGTTGCGAAAACATGATTCAAAGATACCCTTGATCTTTTTTTCGTTACCGCATCAAATAATATCGCAGAGTCGGTATCAACCACACAGGCATCAATTGGTCTCACTAAGAATCTTTTGTTAAGCTGTTACCCACCGTAGCATTTATTCTCACACTAGGTCCTAAATTCCGTCATTGTCGTGGAGAAGTACTTACAATAATCAATCCCTTTGAGCTTGAACACTCAAAAAAATGAAACAATGCCTACATCATAACGAGACACTAACGCCAAAGCCTAAATTGTTTCACTCTGAGAAGCATGTAAGAAATTTGAATGTCGTTGCAACTTTATCCCACTTTGTCTGTCAGGTCGCATAAGCCATCTTTTTGGTTTATCTGCACTAAAATCATGATCATTATTTTATGAACTACCTTCATGCTATCGCCCATTTGGAATGTACCAACTGTTTAGATACACCACCTTCAGTCATCCGCTTGAAATTCAATTCCTTTTAGCAACATTGAACATATCTGCGAGTTGGGCCCTGAACGGTAGATGGAAACAGTCACACGTTAATGTCTGAGGTGCCAGTCGAGCACCTGGGATCCCGCCAAACACCGTTCAATAACTGCAGTTTTTCCGGAAAAATTTCCTGCATTTTGTTTCATTTTTTTTTACCACAAGAGTCATCCAAATAGAAGTATTTCCCTATATGGAAGATACGTAGGCAGATAGGAAAGGTTTATCGCTCTGCATAGAACTGCGTCAACAATCTAGTCCAACAATGGAAAGATTTTTTTCGGCGGAAGAAAAAAGAATTTCTTTTGTTTGCTGTTAGCGTTGAGCGATCTCGAACCCTCTCTTTTTGCACATAAATGTTAGAATTAAAACAAACTTCCATCTTTGCCTCACCGCAATGAATCGTGAGAAAGGCTTGTTCATAATCTAAAGGAGTGTTCTGTTTGATCCGCGCACCTCATTAATTTACTGAAAAAGTTCCTCAGACGACTTTCTATAAATATGCGTCCTCTTACACTCGTGTACAATAAATTTGAGCAGTACGACTATTGAACTACTACTGGGACAACTCTTTGTCAGTTTTCCTTCAGTCAAAACAGACGACCACTTCGCCCGATGCAAGCGCTACTTCGTTGCGGATCTGGATTCATTAGCTACGAGAAAATGTGGCTTCTCTCATTAAATTCGGCGCAGAATTGCCCAGCATGCTGACCTCAGGTCCAGAGATCTTGTTTGTATTGTCGAGGAAAGAAGCTCTTGTGGGTATTATCAACTAGCACGTGTCATAAGCTTTAACTACGACAAAGACGCAATTGCCTCCTCCACAAAAACCGCTACCAGAGAGTGAGGTCCTCGCTTCTTAGGGGTCCCAAGATGTTTCTTTATGAAATACTTGCGTGAAAGTATCTAAAGCTTGTACTAGTAAAGTAGAGAGAGAGAGAGGGTAAAGCGACAAACCGCATTGGTCGGGAGGCTAACACAACTGTTCATAGGTGCCAAATACAATATAAATTATCCGTCGGCGCGGGTTCGAGACCGTCTCGGCCCAACTTATTTGTCTATTTCTATTCAGTAGTTATGTTTGCATTCGTACAAAAAACGCGAGACCATTTGATGTCGACTATATCTGACCTGAAAAAGACAGGTTTTTGGCCGATAACTTTCGTGTTTGTCAAAAAATGCTGCTGAAATTGATAGAGACCAACGTTTACGTTTGCAATTTTAAACGTCGAAATATGTACTTAAAAATACCGAAATTTATGACAAAATTTTTTGTTCCTTTATCCAATTATGTGCAGTTATATCAATAAATGTCAGAACCAGTTTTTTTGTCTATCAACAACCCGATCTACCCTTAGACCGGAGCAGTAGATAATAAATATTGTTTCACGGATGATTGAGCCATGCTTCATGAATGCAGGAATCAGCGCAAAATCACAGAAAAGTCTGTCAAATTCTCGACTAAATAGACGTTGGTCAAAGACTAAAACCTAATTTGTAAAGATTGAGTTTTTTCTGAATCAGCAATGGTTATATCTGAAGAACCCTTCTGGGAAAACTTTGCAATACTTTTATTGTCAACCAATCAGAATCGATCATTTTTGTCTGATCTCGTTAATCCGAGATTTGATAATTGGGGAGCAGTAGAAACAATACCTGAAAATCCTCCGGTGGTTCCAGTACGCGAGTAGGGATAGAGCAAAACGACTTGAGCATTAACCGCCTGAAAGTTCTGTGCCACGCTTTGGATTTGAGGCGCCAACGGAAACGTGTGAACTGTAGTAGTGAACGCACTCATTGGTACACTGGGGACATAATAATCATCCTCACAGTTGAATGTAACTCTGTCGCATTTAGCGGGTGCCGCATAATATTCAGTTTTCAAGTGGCAATCAATTTCAGGGGGTATTGTTATCTACCATTACCTCACCCCTAAACTACTAACATTTGCAACATCCCCCCCCCCCCCACCCCCCAATACCCCAATCACTACAGCCCCAAAAAATTGTAATCATACCCCCCAAAAAAACTACTCTAATTAAACCAAAAAATTCGCACCCTGTTTTCTATTCTTTCGCCCCCAAGGTTTTAGCATATTTTTCCCTATCACAATCACCTCTGGAAAATAAGTATGAAAATAAAAAATTTTGTGTGGTTCCAATTTTGTAAAAAAAAAACATTATTTCTTGTTAAATTTTCTATGCGGAAGCCATGCAAGTATTTGTGTCCAGGGTCCCAGTAGTCGCTGCTTTCATTCATATTTCGATTAGCGGCGATTATAGTAGCCCCCGCAAATATGGTGTTGGTTTCGGATTTCACAAAAGTAAGGTCGCACTTTGTGACGAAAGAGGGAAGGACCCATTCTAAATCAATCGAATTGGCGAAAGGCAGCTGAAACAGTAGTATTTACAAAACAGGCTTAAATCATAAATGATGACAAGTTGTTCGCAATATTGGGGATTTTAACCATTTTTTCATTAAAAAAACGGTGCGTTTTAGATGAACCTGAAAACCTGATTTTTTGACACGGTTTTTACTTAAGGATCGAAAGAGAGATTGATTTCAGACATCAGTATAAGCAGTTGTAGCTTAACTAGCTTCGTTCGGATTTGATGATCGGAAGATATTTTGTCATCTAGTTCTTAGTCGAGATTTTCAAAGAACCGCTTGAACAGTTTGAATGCTTTCTTGCAGAAAAATGAGCGATTTGTTTTTCTGAAACTTTGAGTCGTTTGTTTTGAAAAGTTTTGAACGTAATCTCGACTCGTGTTTGAGTGGCCGTAATTGAAAACACGCATATACTAGAAGCAGAAAGTATAGAAAATATAAGAGAAAATTTAGTGTAATATAAGAAAAACAAAAAAAATATAGTGTAACCGGGTCTGTGGAGTGCGAAGACTTGTATGACCAAACCACTTCGTCCGGAGCGCCAACTATGAGACTATCTGGATAATCGACCGAGTCAGACACTTTGGGTAGGATAACTGGGTTTAAAAGCAGGAAACTAGTCTCGTAATCAGGGCCCTGTCTGCCCGGAGCCTCGTAAAATTGAACAACCCAATAGAAAGTGTCGTAGTAGAGGGAAACTGTGCTCTGAGGCTGATTATCCAAATTGAACACCTGTGAAAAAAAGTGCAGCGGAATTAAAGAACCCTCCTTTTTCCCCTCATAATAAATTAACCCATTTTGGTAGCTTCATTTTTAAACTCTTGCCTGTGGGCTATGATGAAAAAACGCCAAATTCAATCAAACTTTTAGAATTTTTTTTTTCATATGATCCGCTCGGAGTTTCATTCATATTTTCGCTTTTTGCGGTATATCTTAAAATATGATCGCAAATTTTGAATAGTAAACAATTACACTCCATATCTTGCACTTAAATTATATAATTTAAGAAGAACTATTTCATGATCAGATCGGTTTACTAATATCTAGAATAAATTGATCTCCAACACTAAATGTTTTCAATATTTTGGTTTGAATCTTTTGACACTGCCTGCGTAGATAAATAGCAGCGAAATTAAATAAAACAACCAGTTGGTAAATCATACAGTGTTGATGCAGTATAATTATAATAATTTTTAGAAGTCTGATGATTAAATGAGTACATATCCATACGTAACGCCATACGTACTAATTCTTATAAGGCACAGTCTCTAAACTGATTCGAGGTCAGTGTCAGCCATACTTAACATTCAGAGACTGAATTTAAGTTGCTATTGGAAACGCCTTATTTGCATGAGCTTTAGATGTTTATAGTTTGGATCGAAGTTTAAATAATCACAGAAGTTGTGGCGGTATATAACAGAGACATAGAACATCAGATTCAGATGAAAAGCATTATCGAACACAAAAAAAGCCCGAACATATCCGACCAGAGATAGATGGAACCTATCCGGCGTGACAAACAGCCGCAGAGCTCTATCTGAGATTATTCTGTGAATAAACATTCAGCTGGTCATGAAAAATACCACAAAACCAAGACTTAAATGTGTGTCCCTGTGATATTCCTAAACTGCGTAGCGTGTTGTGGAATAAAAGTAAGAAGAGATACTGTTAATTTACTGTTCTTGATCTTGTCTTGTTAACAAAGTTTAGTAGCTGAGATTGGTTACTGTTCAATAGCTTGAAATATGAAACACTGACCAATTCATCTATAAAGTTTTAGTAACACCAAATGGCCTTGACCACTCTTACATAATAATAACATAATAAATATAGTTAGCACATATGGTTACTGCAGATGCAGTAGCTAGCAACTGTCCTCAAGGTTACGTACTGCGGATCCTGCAGTACCACATTCCCCCAGGGACCAATAAAATTTTATCTAGTACATATAAAATTTTATAAATAAATAACAATACTACGAGTTTTTCAGCTCAGTTTTTGTGATCCCATCGATGATGAAGGTGTTTAGTTTTTACTATAAGTTTTTCCAAATACCTTCTTTCTATTTTAAGTGTTTCTTAATTTCTAGGGGCACTTTCCACTGCGTGCTCCACGGTTGTGTCGTATCCAATGCGGCATAACCAAACTTTTTCCGAAACAAATGGCGTTCTAGAAGCTTCAATCGGGTTTCCATCGGATTATTCTTGTCCGTCTTGACATTCGCCAGTCCGTATCGATACTGCTCTAGGGCCATTTCATTAATGTCTGCTTCTTCGTCCGCGCTAATGTACTTAACCGAATGTTTGACTGGGCTACCCAGTCTTTTGGGCCCCTGGTTTTTCGTGGTTCGCTTACTACGTCTCACGCTCGCACTCCCTTGTTCGTCTACGACTGAGTCGTCCGAAATTCCTGATGGAGATCCGTGTTCGCCTGTCGTTTCTGTCTGATTTTCCGTTCTCGATTTAATTATTTCGTCCGCCGTTCTCTCTGCAGACTTCTAGTCAACACTTGATCGGCGAGGCTTTGCCATTTCTCGTCTCCCATGTCCTGTTTTTGGAACGCATTCAAGATTGAACTAGGTGAGGTGTCCCTTGTTATGCGCTTTTTAGACTGTCTAGCTTTGGGGTTCGAACTGCTCGGTTGATCAGTTTGGTCCACCGTTTCTGTTTGTCCTGGATCAGTGACTTCTTCTGCTGTTACAGCAGCTGTCTTTTTATCCACTTTCCCTTTGGATTTAAGTGTTCGTTCCCTTTTATCCTGCGAGTCCCCTATCGAGTTTAACGCCACCTGCGCTTGTGTTTTTGGTCCCGCTGTCTTTGGACCTCCGAGATTTGGTTTTGCTCGCTTTATTGCTAAATTGAGTCCCCCACCAACAGGTGTGTCCCTCGAAGTGACCACAGTCGCGCTGTCTTGAAACAGGTCCCTTAACTGTTCCCTCGATATGTTCAATTCCTCCTCTTCCGATATCGTGTCCTCAAGTAGCTCGTCATTTTTCTTCTGGTGCTTACTCTTTGGCTCCTCTGATGGACTCTTTGCCTTCTCCTTTTGGCTTGTCCCGTCCTTGGGTATCTTCGTAGGTGAACTCGTCATCTTTACCAGATCACTTTTGCGGTATACTGCTCCTGCAGCTGTTGTCACTGTTTTCGGTGAATCAAACGCAACTTTCCCTTTGAACGGTTTTGTCAGTGCCGCCCCACTTCTTCTTGTCTTGTCTCTGCGGCTGAGGTCGTGACTGTTCCACTCCGACCCCTTTGGTTTGTCCTCGACAAATCCCTTTTCCCATGAGTAAAGAAGTTCCTTTCGCAACTGTGGGTCGATTGTACTTGTGTTGTCCACTAATTATTGGAGGTTGGGTCCGTCATATCTACGCCGCTCTGCATTCCAGTTTGCGTTAGCCTCTAACAGGTTCCGGAGAGTTCTTGCTCTGTTTTTCTCCTGTGTCGACATACTCGCCTGTTTGAAGAGAGGGCTGACATCCCTGCTTTTCTGCCCTTTTTTGACAATTTTCAGAGAATCCCGAGATTGGTCAATCCTCTTCTTGAGTTGGTTTGCAGTTAAGGCCGACCTCTCCAGATGCTGCTTATCTAAATGATCAGAGAATTCTACAAATCCATCTCGTATAATTTTAAACTCCGTTTTTGGTAGTCTACCGAAATGTGCTTCAAACGGTGATTTCTGAATGGTTTTCTGATTTATCCACCGCATGTCCCTAATTATCGTACTGAGACATAGTTTAATCGACTTTACATTTTCTTTCAGTAGCATCACCCCCAAACGCCTTTTATGGTTTGAAGTGTTCTTTCAACTAGACCACACCCGCGATGGTCGCCCACCGGGCAGAAGTTTTGTTCTATGTTATTTTCGAGACCGAATTTTTTCATTGCCTTTCCTTTGAATCCGGAAAATTGATTGGTTTTCATGGATTCTGGGATTCCGTGCGTATCTATGTACGACCGTAGGAATTTTATAGTGGATTTTTCCCCCGTTGATTTGGTTACTTTCACCGAAGGAAACTTCGAAAACCAATCAATCGCTGTTAGCAAGTAGATTTTCTTTCCTTTATATTCTTCTAAAGGTCCTGCGTAATCTGATTCTCTTGACCCGGCTGCGATAGCAGTGGCAGTGGTTGTGAGGAATTTTTTGGTAATTTCTTACCATAGCGTGTACATTCTCTACATTCTTCCGCTAAGTTCACGATATCCTTGTGCATGTGGGGCCACCACAAATAATTAGACACGTCAATCGTTGCCTCTTGCCCCGGATGTCCTCTATGAATGCGTTTCATAACTGCTTGATGCAGTTGAATTGGTACTGCTAGACTATTGTCTACCAGAATGCAGTCATCGATTACTGAGAGTTGATTCCACAGCGGATTCGTGTATGGGCCCATGAGCTCAAATCCTGCCCGATCCCTCCTCTCTATTACGCGTCGTAATCTGTCTATCCACACATCCTCAGAGATGAGTTCAGCCAACAGCGTTTTATCGAACAGTTTCGATAAACTGAAACTCCCGACGTCTCCCATGTCTGTCAGTGAGTTCTCCAACTGAGTTTGCCGTTTGTTGATGCTTTTCGATGGTTGAATTTCGCTGACCTCTTGACTCTGATCGTCGTCCTCCGCGGTTAGATCCACTTCTATGATAGATTTAATTGGTGAAACTGAACGAGTACCTGCTCTTGGGCTACTCGTGACCATCTGAGTTACCGCCTCCAGCTCTTTGATGTTTCCCGACATCTCTTGATCTTTGCTGACCAGATCCCAAATGGATAGTAAGTTTTTCGTTTCCTCTGCGTCTTGATCCCACATTACTGATCGTGCAGCACAGCTGTCTTCTTCAAAACTGTCTGACCCCGATCTATCTAGTGTTCCTCTCCTTATCCGACACGTTCGATAAAAGGTAGTCTCGGTTATTTCTTCTTCTGTTAATTTATCGCTCTCCTCATGTGTCCTACAGTCTCCGATCCGCACTGTCTTTTTCTTCATTTTTCCGTCCACCATTTCTTCTGAGACTTGTTTACTATTTTGGATTAAATTGACCGACTGAATTGCTCTAGTGAAATTGACAAAAGTGTTTGGATTCAACAAGTTATTAGTAGGCAAAAATCTGAATTGCAACCGTTCTCGTTCCGGTCGAGCTTTGTTCGGTTTTTGACCGTTTTGTTGCTATGGCAACCACGCCTGGACTTTGACAACTTGTCTTCTCTTTTCTGTTTTTGAGAATATTCTAGAACTTTTTCACTCTGAATTGTTACATCAGTATCATTCAGCCGACTGTACAAACAGTCGAGTGCTCTATAAAAACACTTAATTGAAGTGATCACAAATTTTTCATCCAATTTAGTTTCTGGGTTCTCCTGTTGGTTCTTTAGATAGATAATCAAATATCCCCATATCTTTTCCCGGAATATGGACGATTTTCAATTGATAAGGCAATAATCTATCCCCCATCTCGTTAAACTTGATTGATATGTTTTGTTAGACCGATTGCCTTCTAAGGCGGATGTTAATGCCTTATGATCAGTGACTATTACAAATTTTTTCCTATTAAGTAATGTTTGAAACGATCAACTGCCCACACTACCGCTAACAGCTCAAGCTCATTAGTAGAATACTTTTTTTCTTGATTATTCAGGTAGCGCGATGCGAATGAAATTGGAATCCATTCATCCTTTTCTGTTTGTTGCTCTAACGATGCCCCTAGTCCACTATGGCTTGCATCACATTTGACCCG